GTCCATTGTATATTGAAGTACGAATAAAAAAAAATACGCTGGATAACAGTTATCTTTAAACACCAGTACACAGTTGCTAACAGTCTCTTCCATAAGGAAGTGAAACTTTTCAAATGATTTGCCATACGTCAAAGTTTTGAGACAGATGATAAGTTTGTATCATGTACACAGTTGGTTGTGATATTATTTTATGGTTTGTCTCTTTATGGTACTTTTTATCCCTTGTATATTTGTTTAGTCAGTACAGTATTATATTTATGTTGTGTTCCAATACATGAAAAAACAGGAAGAAAACCAAAATCTTCCAAAGCAGAAGCATAGCGATAATAGTGTTGTATTAATCATTATATTAAAAATCGGAATAGCATAAAAAATATTTTCTTTCACTCTCTCTTAGAATTTATCAAGAACTGTCCTGATAGCTTCCAAAAAAAGACGATTTTTATCCATAGCCTAATCTAAGTATCCATGTTTTAAGCTCCTTTTTTTACCTAGATACTTGTTGTCCAAAAAGAATGAAGTTAGAGAAGTCGATGTAAGTATGAAAGAGGTGTCAGAAATATGAAAATAAATAATAAGATAATTATACTGTTACAGTATAACTTTGGAGAAATGACGGAAAATGTCCATATTCATATTTATCTAATGGCACTAAACCTGCTCTGCCGAGTCCTCTGATCGTCTAAATGGCCAATTACGTAAAAATAGCACAGTGTCTCGTTGTTAATGTTAATTAAACTGATAAAAGCTATCGTTAGTAATTTTCCTTGTGATATTCTGTATCGACATAAAGCTAGTTTGACTTTCCACTTAACTTTAAGCCTTAAAATATCTGTCACATTTTATCTTGAAAGTTCTTGTTTATTGTTTGTTTTTACTTACTTGCTATTCAAGAAATAGATATAGATCTATGTAAATCTTACTATATCGTCGTCTTCTTTTAACATAGACTTTAATAAGTTTTCAATATAAGGAAGCAAATAATATGGAAAATACTATTTATTCTGTAAAAATCTTTCAACGTGTTCTTCACAAATCCTGAATAAACTAAGTTTGTTCCCAACAAATTAAACTACAGTTAAATTATTCAAAACGATATATTTCGTTGATTATTAAGTATGTAACCAAAAACCTAAGGCTATACAGATACATACTCCCCAATAATTCAGAGTTGAGTTTTAAGGCTTATAAGACTAAGATTCAGGGCCCGATCCCCAGCCGTCTGTGCAGTTTTGCGCTTAAAATATAAGCAAGCGAATTGAAAGCAATTAATTCCATTTTCTAGAACTAAACTAAGCTAATTCATAGTAAAATGTTTACAATGTTTTATTAAAAGTAGGTGAACAATTTATCTAATTTGTTTTAAAAACACCTGTACATTCTTTGTCTATGATTTTCAATCTATATGTGCGCAGTAATCTTAAAAGTTTACTTTTTTTTGAGAGCATATTTTAACACTTGCTTATAACTCTTTCACTCAAATGCCCCCCCCCCCCAAAGTGGCACAGCGGTATGTCTTCGGACTTACAACGCTAGAATTCGGGTTTCGATACTCGTGGTGGACAAAGCACAGATAGTCCATTGTGTAGCTTTTACAAGTTAAAACATAGGTATCAGTTCAATGCTTACGTGTTGTTCACGTAAAGAACATCTCGAGAGCTTACTTCATATAATTATTTACACGTTACTCCTACGATATGGTTCTTTTTTTTTTTAATATTACTAAAGGCATTGCACACTTTGATTTTATAAAAGTTTTTTCTTTACAGATGCTAAAAACTTTGAAAAGGTTTACAATAATGACGATAATTGCTTTCATTGATGTCCCTATGGATTTTGTTTATCTTTCAATATATTCAGTTCACTCTGGTAAGTCCTTTAAAGTTTTATAATAAGTTAGTTAGTTGTGACAAAAGCCCCAAACGTTTTGGGAACACATGATAAATATCTGATTTATTATTACTTTATCATTTACGCGCTGATATACAGATCTTATGTTATTTTTGGTGTGATACTTAAGTTACAATTATATACGCCGACATGAATTCAAATCTTACCAAAAGTCATGGGACACACCTCTGATTGCAAGAATATAGGTGTGACGACGAAATATGCATATAGTTTGGCCTATAAGGGTAATCAACGGTTCGCTTGGAAGTCAGTTCGAACTTGTACGCTGAACGATGAGTACACGGAAAGAGCTAATAGTTTCAGAGAGGAATGATAGTTGGATGTCGTTTGGGGAATATGTCTGTACGTGCTATTACACAACAATTAAATATTCCCAGGTCGACAGTTGGTAACGTGCTGAAGATATGGAAGTCCACAGGTGACAATAAGCTTAAAAAACGACCGGGTGGGTGTAAAATACTGACTGACAGGAGATGACGCTCCTTGAGAAGGCTGGTTACCTCAACTCGCCGTCAGACCCTGGAGAATCTGTGTTTGGAGATGCGAGCAGCCACAGGCAATCCTATAAGTGTTTCCACGACACGTCGAGAGCTGCGTGCCATGAATTTTCAATGAAAAGCTGCAGCCCACAAGCCGTTGATAACAAAAACAAATTTATACCGTCGATTGACATGGGGTAAGGCACACCGAACCTGGACCGTGGATCAATGGAAATCTGTCCTGTGGAGCGACGAGTCACGCTACACACTTTTCCAGTCTGGTGGATGTGTTTGGGTATGGAGGATGTCTGGAGAATGCTTATTTCCTGTGTGTTTTGTCTCAACAATGGAGGTGGCAGTATCATGGTATGGGGGGGAGTAATTCTTGTGGTATGGACTAGGTCCACTGGTTGCAGTGCATTGATCCATGAATGCCAAGTCCTTCATTAATGTTCTGAACAACTCTGTGTGTCCTACATTGTGGCAATTTTATGGTACCGGCCCTTATACCTTCCAACATGACAACGCTCCGTGTCACAAAACAAGGATTGTGACCTCATGGTTTAAAGAGAATAACATCAGAACATTGCAGTGGCCAACACAAAGCCCAAACCTCAACCCGATAGAACATCTTTGGGATGAACTGGAACACAGAATTAGGGCAAGACCAAGATGGCTCTCTTTAGTAATGGAGCTTACTAGTGCTTTAAAGGAGGAGTGGTGAACAATAGCACCAGCTTTCAACCAGGAATTAGTAGACAGTCTTCCACGACGTATTGAAGCAGTCATTAAGGCCAAAGATGGTCCAACGCGCTATAAATTTCTTGGAATAAAGACATGTTTTAATCATAACTACTCTTGTCCCATGACTTCTGGTCGGATGGTCCGGATATAGAAACAGATCGTTCTTCAACTAATGTTCTAAACTTATTCTTTATAATACTTCTTGATTCTTCAAACACGTATAAATGAATTAAATCGACTTTCCTTTTATTAGCTCTAACGATCTATATCATCACTCCGAATACGTTCATCAATATCGACTTTTCTTTATTAGCTCTAACGATCTATATCATCACTCCGAACACGTTCATCAATATCAACTTTCTTTATTAGCTCTAACGATCTATATCATCACTCCGAATACGTTCATCAATATCGACTTTTCTTTATTAGCTCTAACGATCTATATCATCACTCCGAACACGTTCATCAATATCAACTTTCTTTATTAGCTCTAACGATCTATATCATCACTCCGAATACGTTCATCAATATCGACTTTTCTTTATTAGCTCTAACGATCTATATCATCACTCCGAACACGTTCATCAATATCAACTTTCTTTATTAGCTCT